CAAGTGAAAAGAGGGTGGAAGGAAGAGAAACTGAGGCAACTGGGAGCTTCCAGCTTACTGGCTTCTCACCACAATCCCACCAACCCCTTCCCACCTGGTATTTGGCGAAGGAGACCTTCTTGTGGTTTCCTTCTACAAGCTGAAATTACTACCTCAATTCCTGATGGAAAGTAAAAAATTGGAAATTTTAGGGGAGAAGGGTCATAGATTGGGAGAGGACAAAGGAATTGGGGTGGGGGATGGCACAGGTTAAGGAAAAAAACAGGAAAAGGGAAAAGAGCATCTCGTTTTTCCTCGCTCCCCCTTCCCCCAATTGAGAAGGCAGATTTACAGCCTTGGTTTGGTGTGTGTGGGGGGGTGAGCATAAGGAAGACAGATCTGCAGTTCTGCCCTCTGAGTGTCTGAGTACTTAGCTTTAACTCCCCCATTAGCATCAATCCCCATCTTGCTGCCCATCCGTCTTCTGACATCAGCTCCTTTCCCCTCTCTGTAGCCCAGGCTTTCTGACCCTAAGTGGCTCTTAAAGGGCCAGTCTAGACCCTTCTCTCCCTCCCTTCTCCCACTCCAGGCAGCAGAGTCTGGTGTGTGTGCTTGCATGCAGGCACTGTGGCCATCCTTGCTAAAGCCATAGTGAATGGAGGGCACAGTGTGTGGGGAGGGGGCAGCTCTTCTCCAGCTCTCTTTCTTCTCTTTAGACAACCCCCCCCCACCATCCCACTAACCCCTATCTTTGTTCACTACCTACCCAAGCCCAGAACAAGCCCTCTGACTGGGGTGGGGGTCACAAACGCATGGTTCTGGGAGCTGAGGGCTGGAGCAGACATGTGGATCACGGAATAGATCCTCTCCCTCCCTCATTTCCTGGAGGCCTAGGGCAGGGACTATCAAGAACTACTGGCTGTTTTTAATTCTCAGCCAGCAGTGGGGGTGGACAGGTTGGAGGCCGAGACTCCTAGGAGATGCCCTGAGCCCCACGTTCCTAGCCTCCTTTCCCAGGGACCCAGGTAGTGGTCTGGGGGTGGGGTGGGGGATTTCAAATCTTCCTCTCCCTATGAGGGAGGTAACATGCCAGAGATCCTGCCTCTGAATTTCCTGGCTCTTCTCCCCTATTTCTCAGGAACTGAGCTTAGGGGGGCAGAGGGGAAACTGGCTTCTCCCCCTTTCTCTCCATCTTCTGCAGAAATGCTGTAACTGCACTCTAGGGGCTATAAGAATGCCAGGATACTTGGAAAGTTCCTCCCCCATCTGCCTTCAATCCTTTCTGCTGCAAAGATCTGCAGTCCTCTGAGGGGTTCCCCGGGGTAGTCAAACCCCCTTCCTGATATCTGAAACCCATTCCCCACCTCCCTCAGCGATGCCTTCTCTGGCTCAGGATGAGAGGGAACTGGTGGGTGGGGGCCTTGGGAAAGTGGTCACGCTAAAAATAGGAGCCCCCAGCTGCACCCCCCCACTATGGCCCCTTATTTATCACCTTCCAAACCTCACTCTCAAAGAAGCATAAATATTCCTAATTCCTGAAGGCCAGCCCTGAACTCATAAATTTAACTGGGGAGGTGGGCAAGGGGGAGGAGTGAGGTGTAGAGAGAGGGGAGCCCACCGCAGCCTTGAAGTAGAACATGGAGGGGGAAGAGGGGGGCGCCGGACTTGACCCCATGCAGGCGCCTATAGGTCTTCTTAGGAGGAGTAGGCGTTATTTCTCTCAGTAGTTCCTGTGGGGATTAGTCTTTTCTCACTACATGCCCCCCCCCACCTTAGTTCTGTCTTCTCCATTAGTTCTCCATCCTTCTCCCCCTTTTCTTCACCATTACTTTCCAGTTCTCCTTCCCTGCCCCTCTCTCTGACCTCTCTATTGCGCCTTTGCTCCTCTAAGCCTCTTCCTCTTCAGAGCCATTGTCTGAAGGGAAATTTCAGTCTCTTATTCAGTCTGGATAGTGAGGTTTGAAAAGAAGTCTCCCAGTTCCCGGATCTCCCCTCGCTTCAGCCTATTTGCCCCTTCAAATGCGCCCTGTCTTTTCAGTCTCTCCTTTCTTCTCCTCAGATCCCCTTCTTCCTGTCCCTCAGTCTCTCTTTTCTCCTTAGCCTTCCTTTTTTCCTGTCACCCCCTTTGATCCCCTCAGTTTCACCTTCGCTTTTCAGTTCATTCTCTCTCCCTCTTCAATCTTCTCTCTCTACTCTACTGTCACCCCACCCCTACCCCTCAGATCTCCCCCACCCATGTTTACCCCTCCAGTTCCCATCCTCTGCTTCGGATCCCCACCACCACCACACCCCAATTCTCCTCCCGAGGGATAAAAGAGAAGGGAAGAGGGGGCTGAGGAACAGGTACAGTGAGTGCGGTTCCTTGAGGGGAGGGAGAGAAAGAGGAGAAAGCAGGGGAGACCGAGACGGAAGCGGTGGCGAGGGGAGGGGCATCCTCACTCCCCAGCTGCGCCCCCCTTCCCCGCAGCAACTGAGCCATAAATCAGGGCCAAGGCTGTTTGGCCAATGGTAGAGTGACTCGTAAATCGGCCTGTCAAGCTCAGCCAATGAGAGAAGGCGTTAAATCAAGTGCTGTCAGCATTTGACCAATGAGAAGCCCTGGGCTGACCATAAATCTGCCTGTGAGAGACAGCGAAAGAGAGAGAGAGCGTGCGAGCGAGCAAGAACGGCCGGGGCGGGGGACTGGAGAGGGGACCCGGGGAGAGCGGGGAGGGGAGGTGGGGAGGTGAGGAGGAGGGAGAGAGGAGTTCAGGAGAAAAAAGGCGATAACAGAGGTACAAGAGATGAAGACAGCCTACAGGAGAGACGGACAGATGGAGAGAGACAAAGAGAAGCTGTGAGAGATAGCGTCAGAAAGTCAGCTATAGAGCTCGGGCTCGCGCGGGAGACTGACAAGAGATAAAAAGACAAAGAGAGACAGACACTGACTCACACTCACGAGGCCCCCAAATACAGACACTTCCCCGAGACACGCGTGAGCGCCGCACCGTGAGAGACCTCGTGCGTGGACACAGACGCGCCATGCACACCGACGGCAGAGAGAAAGCCTGAGAGAGAACCTTGCTTTTCTTCCGCCTCTTTTTCCTAGGTTTTTATCGAAATTAGAGGCGGGTGTGTGTGCGTGGGCCGTGGAGGGTGAGAGGGGAAGGGGTTGTTTTTTTGCTAAGATCTGGCCTCTCTGGTCTCAGACTCCCGAGTTTCCTCCTGTGTCCCGTGAGTCATTTTTTCCAGCGATCGATAATTGGGAAGTCCCCCCTTAGGTCTAACTTCAACCTCTATTGCTGCTCCTTTCTACTTGCCTCCAAGGAATATGAAAAGTGAGCCCTTTTACAGCCCCTCAGAGAATTGTCAACTTTCAGAATCTAAGAAGGGCTAAGCAGGAAGGACTTTTAGAGATTATCTGTCAACTTGATTCTAGTTTTAGAAAGGCAGGTGTCCTGTGGTGGTTAGACATGTGGGCTGAAGTGATACTCTGCCCTCAAATCATGGTCATACCATTTATTAGTTCTTCCACTTTGGACAAACTCCTTGACCTCTTTGTGCTTCAATTTTTTTCATTTGTAGAAATGTGATTATAATAAATACTTCATGGTAAATTTTGTAAGCATTACATGAAATAATATATAGGGTTTAGGACAGCACTGGGTACATGGTAAGTCTGCACCCCACCCCGAACTTTGTACATATGATAAAACCTGTGGCCCAGATGGTTCAGGATCCTGCTCAGATTCACAGAGCTAATTATCGGAAAGCCTTGACTGGAACTCTTGTCTCTACACTCTCTGGCTAATGTTCTTTATTGGTTCTGCTGTTCACCCCACCTGTCTGGGCCCCTGCCTCAGCAGCCTGAACTTGACTCAGTTTAGGCTGCTGTGATTTTTGTGGAAGAACTCTCGGAAATACATGTTCTGGATTAGGACACAGGGTTCCTGGGACTTGGAAGTGTGTTGAATGTGAAGACATTGATCTGTCCACCCCGACTCTGCTTGTCTCTGTCCTTGTCTGAATCTCTCTGGTCTTCACTTTGTTTCCCTCAAAACATGGACTTGGGAGCAGGGAGGGGATAGCATGTGGCCAGAGCAGCATTACTGTCATGATGACTCTCACATTTCAGTGCCTGCACAGTGCCCACCCTGCTCCCCCAACCCCAACTAAATAGACAATAAATATCTCATGAATAATAAATGTCTAATTCATTACTTTTCCCCCTAAGCTTTGGGGAAAAGAGAGAGGTGCGGATCTCTGGGTCATCACCGTTGCTGGCTGAGTGGGAGGTGGTCTGTAGGCTCCCAGTCCCTCTGACACCTTCTGTCCTCAACAGGGACACCAAAAAGGAAACACAGAGAACCAGCGTCACCTGGTGGACACAGGTACTTTCTTTAAGTTCACACATGTGGGTGGCTGGGCTGAAAGGATGTTGGTCATGCTAGAGGAAGGGAATGATATGGTCTCCCCTCAGCTGGACCCCTGAACTCTCTTAACTAGAGTCTCTGTTCTGCTCTCATAACCCAGGATAACAAGAACAAGTCTGGGGAAAGTGAGGGGCCAGCACTTCAGCTGATTTAGCTCTGACCATTGTGAATCCTAGGGTAGCTGGAACCCCTCCCTGTCTGCCATTGCTTCAGCTTAGCTCAGTTCATTTCCACAGAGCAAGGCGTCCTTCTTCCAAGACCATTCTCTTTGGATAGGGCAAGGGCTGGGGGTCTGGACTCATTGGAGTGGCTATCAAAGCTGGATTACAAAACTTTTCTGAGTTCAATAAAACTGTTTGCTTGGATGGGGTGATCTTGGCAGCCGTAGTTAGGGGCAGGGGCCATTTCTGGGAAGTTAAACAAAAAGACAGGTGGATCCTCTTAAACCAACTCATGTTTTATACTTGGAAACCCCTCAATTGAAGGCTGTGTCCTAGGCCTACTGCTTCCTAACCCTGCTATGACATAGGTACCCCCCAAACTCTCAACTGTTAGGTTCCAGCTGCAACCAGTGCTGACCTATTATTCCCCAAAGACCACACCTGAGCATTAAAAGGATAGAATTCATTTATTAATAATAATGCACCTTGGGCAATCTAGAGCTGAAGCATTGATCAAGGGATGGAGAAGCCTGGTTTGAGAGTGGGGGAAAAGTTGTCTGTGAAAATGCCCACAGGTCTTACTTTCACCTACTCCCTACCAGCTGGCCACTTTAGTTCTGGAGGAGTCAGTCTTGGATTCTGGTGACTGGGGACACAGTTCTAATGGAGCCTACGGAAACTCTGGGGCCTTCGTTTTAGGAGGGAGCCATAGGCTTGGCGGAACTGACGGTTCATGGCTGCATAGAGCACGGGGTTGATGCAACCATTGAGCCAGGTGAGATTGGCAGCGAGCATGTGGACAACACGAGGAGCAGCGGTGTTGGCGTCCAGGATGTTGAGCAGCAAGAAGGGGATGTAGCTCAGGGCAAAACAGAGGAACACAGCAAAACACATCCGAGTCACCTTCCCAAACTCTGATGGGGGTTCCTGAGTTCTCTGGGCTCTTTTAGTTGGCCTGGTCTCAGCTGGTGCTTCTGGATGGCTTTTCTCTGCCATGTGCTTAGCTACCTCCCTGCTGTGCTGGTTCCCCACTTCTGATGAGTCCCATTCCATGGTCTGGGTGGTGGCAGAACTGACTGGCTCTGATGAAATCCCCTCACTGGGCCTTTTTGAGGCCAGCTTGTTGTCCAGCTCCTGGAAATGACCGGGTATAGCCTCTGTCCCAGCCACGTGGTTGGACTGGACACTTGACTGCTTGTACTGATCCAGCGCCTGTGCTGCTCGCTGCACCTGGCGGTGGATGAGGCAATAGAAGATGCCAACACTGCTGAGCCCCAGCACAAAGTAGATGCCCATGAGGATGGTGGTGTAGGGCCGGCCTCGGCTGCGGTCAAAACTGCAGGTGCAGACTACAGGCACCAACGTATAGATAGGCCAGAGAGGGGCAAAGCTGGCCATGCCCACCACCCAGGTACTCACCAATGCCAGCAGTATCCCCTTGGCACTGAAAACTTGGGGAAAGAGCATAGGGTGGGCAATAAGGAGGTAACGTGCCAGGGCAATAAGGCAGAGGGTGAGGATGGAGACAGCATTGGATGCAAAGAGGAGGAACCCAAAGACTCTGCAGAAGGTGGCACCAGTGCGCCACTGCAGGTGGAGGTAGGTGTCCACAGAGAAGGGCTGGAGAAGGGTGCAGTACAACAGATCAGCCACTGTGAGGTTGGCGATGAGCAGGTTGAAGCGGGTACGGAGCTTGGGCTGGATGGCCAAGGCCAGCAGGGTGAGCCCGTTGCCCACGGTGCCTGTCACAGCTACCACCACCCCCCAGCTAACTGCAACATAACGATAGCCCAATACAGACTCATGGTAGCAGGAGAAGTTGGTGACGGAGTTGTTCTGCATGATGGAGGCTAAAGAGGCGGAAAGAGTAAGGGGAAGAAAAAAAAAAAAAGAGTAAGTGGAAGAAGGAGTCAGAACCTGGCCTTGGATTTAGATCTCTTGAACAGTTCTGGGCCCCTGGACACCTGAACTGTTTTAGAAGCTCACCAGCCTCGGGCGCCTGAGTGGCTCAGTTGGTTAAGCGACTGCCTTCGGCTCAGGTCATGATCCTGGAGTCCCGGGATCGAGTCCCGCATCGGACTCCCTGCTCAGCAGGGAGTCTGCTTCTCCCTCGGACCCTCCCCCCTCTCATGCTCTCTCTCTATCTCATTCTCTCTCTCAAATAAATAAATAAAATCTTAAAAAAAAAAAAAAAAAAAGAAGCTCACCAGCCTCCTGAGCCATTGCCAGGCCTCTGCATCCTCAACCCTTCCTGAGATTCCCAATCCTCTCCTTAGGCTCTCTTAGTCCTTTCCCATTCTCAAAGATTCTCTCTAATTTCCCCAAATTCTTATCTAAATATCTCTCAGTGTCTGTCCACTCCAAACTTCAGGCCTCTTCAATATCCATCCAGATATTCTCAGTAACCCTAACACCCTCTGACTTTCTAATCTTTTCCCTTTCCCCTGAGACCACCCAGGAGTCCCCCCTCTCTATTCAGGATGCTACTATAGCCCCCCTGCCCTTGTCTGTTACACACACACAGGCCTCAGGTGTTTTGTTTTGTTTTCCTATTTTTATCACCTGGGAGAAGAGGAGACAGAGAAAGTAAAAGTACACCCACCACAAAAAGTACTCACCTGGGTCTCCCAGTCTTCAATTCTCACTCCAGTGGAAAGAAGACCAACTCATTTGAAGAGCAGTCTTTTCTTTCTGGTGGACAGTCAGGTTTCAAGACATGGTCTTATACTAAACTGAATAAGAAATCCCCTAGTTACCCAACCTCGGCCACTTCCTCCCTTACCTCCCTTTGCTTTGGCTAGTGCAATCCGGGCCTCTCTGTCGAAAATCCACTGGTACTAACACCAAGGCTGTTTCACTCCTTCCTAAAGACCTAACCTCTGTTTCCTTCCCCTCTTTGCATAGCAGGACACTTATAAGTTCATTGCCAAGAATTATCCAGACATGGAGACAGACCATCAGAATATCTGGGCCACTTCTCTAGGGGCCAAAGAGAAAACCAAGTTTCCGGAGCAGCTGTGGACACCCTAGAAGCCTTGAGTTTGTTAGGAGGGAGCACTGCCTTTTTTCTCTCTGGGACTCAGAGATGGTTCAAACCGGGGGTGGGGGGCATGTGATACCCTAACACATCTGATAAAAGGAGCCAGATGAAGAAAGGTGGGAAAAGAAGCATCCAGGATTCTGGCTTCACTCCACACAGGGGCGCAGGCCACTGTTCAAACATTCATTCATCTGTTCACTCAACTAACGTGTGTTGAGTGCCTACTATGCACTGGACTCTGAGCTAGACACTGGGCATACAAGAAGGTAATGTACATGGGCTTACACATAGTCTAGCAGGGGACATAGATATGTAAATATAAGATATGTAAATATATACATGTTTAATTGATTCTCTAAAGTAGGGGTCAGCAAACTTTGGCTTACGGACCAAATCTGGGGCCGCCATCAGTTTTTTTTTATTAATTTATTTATTTTTAGGGACACCTGGGTGGCTCAGTGGTTAAGCAACTGCCTCTGGCTCAGGTCATGATCCCAGGGTCCTGGGATCGAGTCCCTCATCGGGCTCCCTGCTCTGTGGGAAGCCATCTTCTCCCTCTCTCACTCCCCCTGCTTGTGTTCCCTCTCTCACTGTGTCTCTCACTGTCAAATAAATAAATAAAATCTTTAAAAAAAAGAAAAGAAATAGTATTTATCTAATGATGCATTGGATGAAGTTTTAGGAAGAGGGACGACTAGGATGACTCCCAGTTTTCCCAGTGGATGGTGGTGTTCTGCATCACTAAGATAGGGAATGGTCAGAGCAGCAGGCTTAGGGAATGGGGTGTCTAATGAATTCCTTTTTAAACCGGGTTGAAGGTATGTATCCCAGCCCCTCTCACTCCAGTTTCTTCTAGCTGCTATCTCTATCCCCACATGTAACCCAGCCCCTGCTTCTCACCACCCTCTCTCCTAGAGGGCCACTCTTGCTCCTCGGAATTCTGGATCTCCAGTCTCTGCATTTTTTTTTAGCTAGATCTGAAAAATCAAAGAACAAAAATCCAACCACTCCCAAACTCCTTGTTGCGTTCCATTTCTAAACCCTCAGTGAACTCCTACCCCCAAATTCATACTTGACAAACCCAGGAGGCCTCTATTTCCCTCTCCTTCCTCTTTAACCATCATCTCACCTTTCCTCCCCCTTTCCTCTGAAAAACTGGGAAGTGGGTGGAGAGGGGGAAGTGAGCAAAGGGGATGCAATTCAGGGGGACATGGGGAGATGCTGGGTTCTGGTCTGGCCTTGTTTTACTTTCTTGCCACTCAGCAGGGCTAGAGGGACGGGATCACAGAGTCAATACAGCTCTTGGGAGTGTGTGGTTGAGCTGAATTCTGGAGATAATGAGGAGTGCCTTCCCCCACATCATGTGGGAGGCAGCTGAACAGAGTGTGCTTCTCTGTCCCACAGACCATTTAGGGGACCAGAAGAGAAGGGATTCTAGTATATCTGCATATCTGTAAATGGCACAGTCCCAGTTCTTTAGTCTTGGAACATGAAGTCTCAGTGAACTTTTAAGAGACCCAAATCTGCTCATTTTGCATACGGGGGAAACTGAGGTCCAGAGAGGGGAAGGACTAACTCAAGGTCACTATTTATATGAGGCCCAGCAGTGCCTGGAGTTGAGATTCCTAGTCCCTGCCCCGACTTCTCTCCATTCCTTGCGCGTTGCTGGTGTGGGTTTCCCACCAGAGAGAGGCACAAAAGCCTGTATTCTTTCCTTTGTCTGAGACTGGATCTAGACCTGTTTCCCAGAATCGTGAGACACACTTAGGGGGACTCCTTTTCCATGTCGTTGGCGCCGCCTGGTGGAGTTGTGGAGAATTCTCAACAGCTGCATCCACAATCCGAGACCTGGACTCAGAAATGGTTCCCCAGGGCCAAGTTTACATTTGGGCTGGGCGGGAGTGGGGGTGAGTGGGATTGGGAGCCTCTGCTCGCTTTCTACAAGCCTCGGATCTTTCCGTCCCCCTCCTCCTGGCCCCCTTTCCCGTGTGCCGGTCCCCTTCACCATACAGATCCATCTCGCGTTGTAATAGCTCCCATATCAGGGGGCCAAGATTGAGAGTCTGAGTCTGGGGGACAGAGGGCAACGAATCCAGACTTTATTGTCAGGGAGAGGGAAAAGGGAAGACGTGGGTGGGGGGCCGGGGTTGCTACATCGTCAAGCATAAAGAGTTGATGGGGACGGGAAGGCCAGTGGGGGCCCGTCCCCCTCCGGGTCGGTTGCTGTAAGGGCTGACGATACGGAAACCACAGAGGGAGGGAGGGAGGTCACGCCCCCGCCCGAGTTGTGCAGTCGAGGTGTTTGGTGGGAGGGACAGCCATGAGGTCTAGGAGCTGGGACGGGGGAGGCTACAGACTCAGCGAATCCTGCGGAAAGGGGAGGGGCGGGGGCGAGGCTTCTATTGCTTTTTGCTCACAGTTTTGCGGAAGGCGAGGCGGGGGTGGGCTTGAACTGGACACCCCTTGCCCCCCTCGGTACCCCTTGGGCGATGGGTGCTGGTGAAAAGAATGGAATCCAGACTGGGGAGGAAGAAAGTGAGGGAAGGGTCTGTAGGGGCATCTACTTGGTCCCACCCAAGTGCCAGAGATGCCCCCAAGTGCTGCCCCCTGCGATGGGCCCAGCTAGACCTGGGGCTGGGGCATGGTGCGGGGCGGGCACAGTGAGGTTGCAGGCGGTAAAACCAAAGTGCTTTTGAGGGACCCAGGATCCCGCCTGCTCCCCTCCCCCTGCGGAGGACGGGGGTGTTCACGGAAGCGCTTCAGTTTGGAGGCAGGGGGCCGGAGTCCCAGAGTCCGCTTATTGCCAAGAAAATCCATTTCTGCCCCCCGGACTCCGACCATGGCTTGTGAACCCCGTTTTGTGCTAGGTTTGGGGGGGAAGGGCTGAATGGACATGGCTTTTGGGAGGGGGGGTGTCTCCAAGGGGGCTCGGAGGTGAGACGGCCCCCCCTTTTCTAGGGGAGAGGGAAGGGCAGGGGGCGGGGTTCCCTGAGATCTGGGGTGTTCCCCCCCTTCTGAAGCCCCCCTCCCCCGCTACCCCTCCCCTTTCCTGGAACCCCGTACCTCGGGGTGGGGGGTAAGGAGAGAGATCATTCAGGGAGTGCCGGGAGTAAGGGCAGGCTTGGAGCCTGGAGGCCTGGGTCCCGGCTGGAGGTGGGGGGGGGTTTGAATGGGAGGGGGTTTGGGGTTCAGGTCAGTAGGGGGAGAAAAGGATGGGTCCGTGCGCAGTTCGGATGGGCCCGGGGGCCGGGTGGAGCAAGGGGTGGGTGATGGGCGGTCCCTGGAGAAGAGGTGCGGCTGGGGCCGGGCGCAGGGACAGCGGGGAGCCTGCTGCCGCTGCCATCACCGCAGCCACCGCCAGGGGGCTGGGGAGCAGGCCACCGGCCAGGGACTTGGGCAGCTCCTTGGAGAAAGTCAGCGTGCCCTGCAGGGGGGAGAGGGGCGGGGAAAGAGAGAAGTCATTCTGCAGCCCACAAACCCCACCTCTCCCCGGGCCAGCCCGCGTCCCCTCCTCCTCCCAGTTCCGGTCTCCCCGTGGCCGAATTCTCCAGCGCCCAGGCCTCACCGCTAGCTCCCCGGAGCCCCTAGGCTTCTTGTGACGGCTCAGTAGCGGGTTGGGCTTCCCGGCCACGCCGTCTCGGTGTCGCCGGCTGGAAATGTGCTGTGGGGGCGAGCGGATAGGGGGCTGTGAGCCGCGGGGAAAGGGGCAACCGACAGGCCCGTAGGCACACCCCACACACCTGGCTCCGCCCTTTCTGTGGCACCAAGGACAGACCTTGAAAGAAGAGCCCTCACCCAAGCTCCCTGTTCTCTTCCCCACTTAGTGAGTAGAGCTCCCTAGAGTTCCTGGGAAAGGCCTTGGACCCACCTGTTTCAGTTGGACCTCCGAGTTGACCTTGACATTGCAGATCTCACAGTGGAAGGTTCGGTCCTGGGCAGGGGCCTCTGGTTCCCCAGGAGTGGGAGGCCCCAGACGAGGGTAAGCTTTGATGGGGCCCAGCCCACTTCGGGCCTCCAGAATTGTCTTGTGCTTAGTACCTGGAGCCCACAGAGGGCAGAGGTAAGGGGTGGAGGAAAAATTTTCCAGGCCCAGTAGGTGACAAATACACTCCCAATTAAAATATGGGGGAGCATCAAGTGTGGGGGTTTTCCAAGCCCCTTGGGATGCCCCCAGACACAAGGTGGGTCAGGGAAGAGTCACAGGTGAAGAAGTTAGGTGGAGGGGAAACTGGCTAAGGAAGGGGGGACATGATTTGGAAGGGAGATAGGCTGATAAGTCCTGGAGGGTCCAGGGTGTTGGAAACCAGGGCAATTAGGAGGTAGGGAGCAGGAGTGGGCTGAGGACAGGGGTAGGGGTGGGGGTAGGAGAGTCCATACCTTTGTTATGAGCCTCAAGCTGGGACAGGGAATTCACTGCCACCTTGCACAGAGCACAGTAGAGCAGCCGCTTGGCCTTTTCCTCCTCTTCCTTGCTGCCCCCAGGCAGGGAAGCTGGGGCTGGAGTCCCCCCTTCACCCTTGGTTGTACCCTGACCAGTCTCCGGAATGCTGGGAGGGGATGGGGAGCCAGGCTGTTTCTCTGGGGATCCTGGAGCTGGACCCAGTCCATTTTCCATGGAAACTGTTGTTAGGGGAGAAACAGGGGTCACCCCAGATGGTTTTTGGAGAAGATTCT